TCTTCTCCTGGCTGAGATTCATACCCTCAGGCACGTTTCCCTGCCCTCGCTTCCAATCTTATTGTAAGGATTGAGGTAGTTAATCCATTTATACTCATAGCATTCAAAACCTGTGGTTTGCTCAAAACACTTGCTCCAAGGGAGCTTCCTGCTATTCCATTTTAGAAAGAAAAAAAAAATTCTCTTCTTCGATCTTGTCAATCCGGATTCAACCATACTAGGGCGTCAGTAATGGCGCCATCAGACCATACCCAAGGAGGTCTATCTACGGGGCTGAAGAACAAGTTGGGGCTCTTGCCCCATTGGCTCAGTCCCCTTCAGTCATGAGGCCTCTCCCCAGTCTGTACCCCCCATGGAGAAATGTCCAAAAGAAAGAAACAGAAGTTTCAGCTGGTGGTACTCTACATCTGTATACAAGTTCTGCATCTAAACCATCGGTATCTGGAAGGAAAATGGCTTCTATGTCCCCTGGCATTGGATGAGGATTTTTTTTTCTTCTATCTTTTTGCAGTTATATTTATCAGGCTGTGCTGTTTTCTTTTGACTGGTTTTCAACAAACAAAACAGGCAACACAGTCTTGTGGTTTGAATGGCAGCCATTAGGATCTCCCCACAAACCTTTCAGGGAATAGAAAGGAGGAGATCCCACCTGAGGAGGTGGAAGGAAGGCAAGGGTTGCCTAGAGGGGCCAGCTCCTTTGGGGACATAGGAAGGCTAGACACCCTCTTGGGCTCTGAGGTAGTTAGTAGCACTGCTGGTTCCCAATATGGCAGGGGGTGGGGGGGTAATGTCTGGGGTAGGAGGAGGGGAAGGCACCCTTGAGAGCTAACTGAGGCCCCTCCTCACTGCCAGTCTGCCAGGCCTGAAGGGAACTCCACCGTGCTATCTCTGCAGTGGGGACTGGGGATAAGAGCACTCCCACAGGGAGGAGGCCCAAACATCCCCTCCCTCCCCAAAGTGCAATCAGAAGCCAAAGGACCCCCTTGCTCAGCTCCCTACCCCTTGGCAAGCACCATTCCCAAGTCCCCCAGGAGCCTCAGAAGGGAAGGGACCTGTCTTTAGCTCACACTGTCTCTGGGCTCTTTCCCCATCATGGTCAGCCCAGGGAGATGTTGAAAGATGGCCACTGCTTTGACTCAGAAACAGCCTCTCTCTCTGTCTGTCTTTGGCACAGAGGAAAACGGACACAGAACCAACTGGAGCATCTTCCTCCAGTGTCCTCTAGGTTTTTACGTGGGGTCTTTTTTTTTCTCTCTCTCTTTTCTTTTGGCCAACAGTGAGACATTTTATAAATAAAAGAACAGCTCCCAACTCCCCCCACCCCCTTCCAGGAGTGGAGAGCTGAGGAAAAAGGAAAGATTGAGAAGGACTGGGAAAAGAGGAAAGAGAAGAAAGGTGGTATGACTCCCTATCCTGAAAAATGGCTCTCTCCTTCCCAGATGCCTCCCCAAGAACTGAGTCTACAACCCTACCTGCAAAAGGTAATGGAACCCCAGAGGGGATTTAAAGCCATTGGGGTGTAACTGGCATGGCAGATGCAACTTCAAAGTAAGTCAGTGAACCAAACCATTTGGTTGTTTTTTTAATGTATTTCAAGAATTTAAAAATAGATCCTAAAGAAAGAGATGGTCCTTTCATAAAAATATATATGTTGCACATCCACACACATATATATAATCTCAGAGCACAGAAGGTTTTTTTTTTTTAAGTCGTTTTTCTTAAAACCGTCCTATCTCCCAAGTGCTTTTCACAATAGCTTGTGAACCTCACCAAAGACTGGGAAAGGAGGTGTTGTCTTGGCCTTTGGGTCATAGGAGGTCCAACCAAGACAGGTCCCTCCTCCCACTAACCCTTAACCACCAAACTACACTCCTTTGCTTTCTGGTAGCCTCACTTCTACATTTCTTCCTGCTAGGCAAGTATCACAGATGACTAGCACCTTGACTAAGCCAAGTTAAGTTTTCCAGTCCCTTGCCACACTTCCTGATCTCTTCTGGGAGCTAAATCAGCCAAAGGAAAAGGACTCAGGTTTAAGGTGTGAAGGGAGTAGACCCCCAAGGAACTGAACACTGCAACAATCACATTTCAGGTACTGTGGGATTTTTTTTTTTCTTTTTTCTTTCCTAATGATCATTTGAACCAGAGATATCAAAGCATGCTTGCTGCTGGAAATCCACTTAAAAAAAAAATCACTAAATGGCCGATGTCTGAACATTACCTGCTTCATTTTGGAACAAAGCATATAGAGCCAGAGATGGAAAGGTGGGAGACCCTTTTTTTGTGGTTGGCAGGGATGGGAGGATCCATTCCAATTGGCCTGATAATTATCCCTAAATGCTTTCTTGCTTTTCCTTTCTTTGGGCTAGACAGTTCTAGAGGCTATTGGAGGGGTGTCATGGGGACAAAGTGGTAAGGCCAAGACAGGAAATAGTCCTAAAACACTTCATCATTTCTCCTGCTCCTCCCTGGCGGCCCACCCAACCTAAATAATTATTAAAAAAAAAATTCCTAACCATGAATCCACTTTTAGAATCAATCCGATCAATCAATCTAAAGAAGACAGGGAGGGAGGGAAGGGTACAGTTATCCCCCTTGGTCTATGCATGTAGACTAAGAAGAATAGCAAGATGGTATGGAAACGAAGCAATAACCAAAAAATGAAAACAAAAGACATTGCAATGACAAACCAGGCAGGCCTCTCTGAGGGTGGGAGGGGGCAGCCGTCTTCCTGCCATGAATGGAATCTTGGCTCCCATAGTTTTAGACAAAGAAATATAGAGATTCTTAAAAGGGTATATTCTTTTTTAGTTATTATCTCTCCTCGATAAAACGGAGGCAATATTTTAAAATATCACAACAGTACCGCTGGTGGGAACAGCTGGCTGGACTGCTGTTTAACTTAACGAAGGAACAGAGAGAGCCCAAGAGTTGGTTAGTTGCTGAGACCCTATACTTTTGCTTACCCCATAACCCAGGGGCTCTCTGCTGGGATCTTTTGATCCGGACCATCAGGAAGGAAAAGTCCAGATAGTACAACAGGCATTCCCAAGGTCAAAGACTTAAGAGTCCCACAAGGCTCTGGGCTCTGTCCCTGGAAGGGAAGGTGTCTTCAAACCTGGGCCTTCCCTCTTCCTCCTCCAGGGCCCAGCCCTGCTGCCCTTCCCACCAGGGCCTGTTCTCCATAGGGAGTTCCTAAAAGGGTTTACTGGCTCATGTTTGTAAGAAATTATGAAACATAACTTTCTTCATTTTTTTTCCTTTTCATTAAAAAAATAAAATATTCAAGACTATCAGCTTCTCTTTTGCTTTTCTTTTCTTTTTTATATAAAATATCAGCAAGCCGCAAAGAAAAAAAAAAAGATCAAAAAAATTTTTAAGGGGGGAGGGGATGGGGAACAAAAAAAAAAAGGAAAATAATTGCTGAGGTAACTTCATACCTTGAGGTAGTTTACTTCGCACACAGCATTGCCTGACTCCGCCCACACACACATCACACGTCACGGTTGTTCAGGTGTCAGTTGTTGCAATGTGGGGGGTGGGAGGAGACTCTAGGCCTGCGCTCTTCCGCATGCAGAATGAGCCTTTCCTCCCTTCCCAGCACACTTCATTGTATTGTCCAGGGTAGCTAAAGTGCATCACCCGGCTAAAATGCATTAACCATCAGTATGGCATTAGGAGGGAGGCCTAGCCTCCTGCAACTGATGACCACTGGCCTCCACAAGGGCTAAACTTCCAACGGGATCTTACAGAGCCTGGTAAATCAATAAATTAAGCTTGTTTACCCCTTTGTGCATAAAATGCTGCTGGTAGTCTGAATTTTGTCGGTAGGCATACCTTCTCATCATGGACAATAATTATTCATAGAGGCAGAAGCCGTCATTTAAATACTCCTCTAGAATAAGAAACAGAAGCAAATATTCTCCCCTGTATTGCGTTTGCCAGATGACGACGGACTTGAGCCAATCAGAAGCTCGGAAGCTGGGTTCCAAGTCCCACCACTACCAAAGAAACAAAGGCCGTGGTGAGCAGTGCCTTGCAACCTCTTAACCTCTGGGAGCCAGCCCTTAGGGGAGAGCACACAGGCTGGGGTGAGGGCACCTTAGGGCCACTCAAGTCCTCCATGGAGCTGATGCTTTATCAAGGGGAGTTCATGTCCCCTTCCCAGTGCTCATATCCAATTATTAAAATAGACTTTAAAAAAATATAAAATCCGCCTGAGAACGATGGGAATCAGGGAGAGTGGTCAGCCCCTACCCTGCCGAGCATTGGGTACTACCCATGCACATACCATGCACACCAGGGGACATGATGTTGGGGTCAGAGGGCATGATCTTGGGGAAGCCCCAGCAGACTGGGAATCTTTTCAGTTGTGTCAATTTTTCAAGATAGTGACTGAAATAAATAGATCAGCCATAGGATACGAATTCTGGGTTTTTCTTTTTTGTGTGTGGTACTGAGGATTGAACCCAGGGTCCCAAACACTTGCTAGGCAAGCGCTCTACCACTGAGGTACATCCTCAGCCCAAGGATACTCCTTTTAAACGTGGATTCGTAAATATTTTAATCATCTTTCTCCCCCATTTCTCCTCCTTCTTTATTTCTTGCTATTCCTATTGTCTAGGGAGGCAATTGTCCTTCCAATGATGATACAGATCTTCTCCACAGTCAGTACTCTAAGCAAAGAAATGCCTTGGTACCCATTTTTTCTTTTGCTTTCTTGTAACAGTATGAATATAAAATGAGGTGTAGCATGGGGCACTGAGAATGGAGGAAATTTCATCAATTAAACCAGGAAGGGAGATGACAGATGGAAAGATGATTTTTTTTTTTTTAAGGTCAAGAAACAAACCATCCTTTGAGGTTTTTATAAACCTGAAGGAAATTTTATTTCTCTTCCCCACTGGGGTTTGTCCCACCCTCTTGGTGGGGGGCTGGACAACTTCCTTAAACAATCCACGTTTAAAAGCACCCTGAACTTTGCAATGTCATGGTGTTCTGAGGGGCAGGCTGTGTGGTTGATCAATTAATTGGCCTGGTGTTTGTGACTGGGAGATCAGGGTTCCTCACTGAGACATCTTTTTCAAGACAGTGGGCAAACCTGATCTCCAGCCTAGCCCAGGGACCCTGATTCCCACTCATTCTCAGGCCTGCTGGAAGAGCACATTCTCCAATTCTGCCCGTTGTCCTGGAGCCAATGCGATGGGAAGGAGCTGGTCACTTCCTCCGTGCCTGGGCCTGGTTGCTCTGTCCCTTCTGGTGCTGCTGCTTAACCTGGGCCAGTATATCTCGAATCTTCCGCTGGGCCATCTGAAGCAAGAACAGGCAAGGGGGTCGAGGTAAGACCTCTGGGGGAGACAGGCTTGGGAAACTGGCAACAACAGGACTAGTATCTCAAGACTCAGAATTCAGGAAAGAGGGAGAGTGGGAGACAAGGGGACTTCCAGGTCATCCACTGGGAAATAAGATGAATAAAAGGAGAGGGGTAGGAAGGGAGGAGAAACAGAATAAACTTGTTTACCAGAGTTTAAACACTGACAGAGCTAACACTTTGTCATAATACTTAATGAACCTGAAATGGTACTCTTGGAGCTCTAAGATAAGAGTTATATGTAGCCAGTCCATGCTGTTCTGAAATAATAAACAACTATTCTGGTAAATACTCAGGAAAAGGGAGTAAGATATCCACATGCGACTTAGCAAAAAGGTAAAATGATAAGCTCTATCTATAGTGACAAAGATGAAATACCAAAGGAGCAGTGTCCTTATGCTTTCCTTCCTTTAGATTAAGAAAAAACTTGTTTTATTTTGAGACAACGTCTCATATTGGATGCTAGTGCCTCACCCCTGTAATCCTAGCTACTCAGGGAAGCTGAGATCTGAGGGTCACAGTTAGAAGCCAGCCAGGCAGGAAAGTCTGAGACTCTAGCTCAAATTAGTCATCATAAAGCTGGAAGTGCAGTTGTGGTTCAAGTGATAGCATACCAACCTAGAGTGGAAAAAGCTAAGAGACAGTGCCCTGGCCCTGAGTTCAAGCCCCAATACTGGTTAAAAAAATAAGAGAGAGAGACAGAGTCTCAGTGTCAGTCTTCCAAGTGCTTGAGATTACAGGCTTGTGCTATCATGCTCAGCTTAAGAATAGTTTTGTGGGGCTGGGAAGGTGGCTCAGTGGTAGAGCTCTTGCCTTGCACGCATGAGGCCCTGGATTCGATTCCTCAGCACCACATAAGCAAAAAGAAAAAAGCTGGAAGTGGCACTGTGGCTCAAGTGGTAGAGCGCTAGCCTTGAGCTGAAGAGCTGAGGGACAGTGCCCAGGCCTAGAGTTCAGGCCCCATGACCAGACAAAAAAAAAAAAAAAAAAAAACCCAATAGTTTTGTGTGCTTGCCTAGCAAATACAAGACCACAAGTTCAAACCCCAGTACCCCCTCAAAAAGAGAATAATGATCCATAAGAGAAGTCAACTGCAAGAACTGGGGGTATAACTCAAGGATCTGTCTAGGTCATACCCAGCAACTTCTGGAATCTTTGCCTTTCTGTGTCTGGGTCCTGAAATCCTACTGAGAGGGAGAAAGTGCTATACATACCTGGCTGGCATAGAAGTGCCCACTGATCTTCACAATGACTTGGTCATTCTCATCCGGGGTCTGGTCTCTCGGCACTACCACCTCAGCAGCTGTTAAATTCTGCAATTCATTCACCTAGGGGTGAGGCAGCCAGAAAGGAGCTCAGGGTGTGACCAAGAAAGCATGAGAGGGAATGGGAGCGGGGGGGGGGGGGGGGGGGGGGGGGGGGTTGTAACTCAGTGTTAGAGAACTGGCCCAGTATGCACAGGGCCCTGGGTTTAACCCACAATGCAACCAAGCAAGCAGAAGGCATGGTGGAAGTGGAGAGATGGGCAGGAAGTGGGCGACTTGTTGGCACCGGTAGAATTAAGTCAAGTGGCAAGCAGGGAGTGTGAAGTTGAATAGGGCAGGAAAGCAGAGGCCAGTGCAAAGCTATAGGTAACTTCCCCCCGGCCCTCAGGCCTCACCGTTTTGCCGCCTTTGCCAATGACTCGGCCAGCAGCTGAGGCTGGGACCCGGATGTGGGTCTCCAGTTTTACTTCCTCCTTGGGACCGAAGAAGTTCTCCTCTTTGAGTTTGCCATAGATTCTTCCCTGAGCCTGCAGAAGAGTGGGTCATTGTTAATCAGCAGGCCATGAGTCTGAGAGGACAGGGACGAGCAGAAACTCCATGTACAGACCCGGTATGCTCCTCACCATAGAAGATCAAACACCTAAAGCAGGTGGTAGATGAAGTGCAATGACTTCCACCTGTAATCCCTACTACTCAGGAAGCACAGATAAGGATGGTAGCCATTTAAGGCCAACTCACAAAAGTCAGTGAGTTGGGGCCTGGGCACTGTCCCTCAGCTCTTCAGCTCAAGGTTAGGACTCTACCACTTGAGCAACAACCCCACTTCCAGTTTTCTGAGTGATTTATTGGAGATAGGAGTGTAATGGACTTTCCCAACTGGGCTGGCTTTGAGGTGAGATCCTCAGATCACAGCCTCCTCAGTAGCTAGGATTATATCTACCGGCGCCCAGCAATGAGATGCCATTTTAACCAATAAACTGGGCATGTTTGTGCACACTTGGCATCTCCAAAATGGAGATCCTGGTAGATTATCATGAGTTATGAGGACTGAATAGGTATTTCCCAAGTGGAGAGTGAAATCAAGTCATGCAGAGCTCAGCCCTGGTAGGCAGTCCAGAATGCCCTTTCTGGTCTCTAGGCTCACCCCTAACTTCTAGGTCAGGCTAATTGTAAGCTCTGGCTGTCTGAACAGAAACAGGGACAGAAACATAGGGAGGGACGGTGACATGAAATGCAAACACCTCAGCTTTCCTTCCCACATTCCTTGTGGACTTTAAAGGAGTCATGAGGGAAAGGGAAAACAAAATCTACAGAAATGAAAATGACCACAGAAAGTGGTCTGGTACCACTTCAAAAGCCGCCATAGCTAGGCACTGGTGGCTGATGCTTGTGATCCTAGCTACTCAGGAAGCTGAGATCTGAGGACCACTGTTTGAGGCCAGCTCTGGTAGGAAAGTCCATGAGACTCTTACCTCCAATCAACCATCAGAAAATCAGAAGTAGGGGCTGGGAAGGTGGCTCAGTGGTAGAGCGCTTGCCTTGCATGCATGAGGCCCTGGGTTCGATTCCTCAGCACCACATAAACAAAAAAGAATTAAGCTGGAAGTGGCGCTGTGGCTCAAGTGGTAGAGTGCTAGCCTTGAGCTGAAGAGCTCAGGGACAGTGGCCAGGCCCTGAATTCAAACCCAATCCCCTACACATACACACCAGAAAAAGAAAGCAGCCCTAGACGTGTGTGCCTAAAGACAAGTCTGAAAGACGTGCCAAGAATCTGTCAGCGGACAGACGCTGTCCTCTCATTTCCTTTTACTACTGCTTTGGCAAGTTGTAAACCTCAGCTCCCCAGCTTGGAAAAACAAAACAAACCTTAAATTGGGCCTCTGGGGGTCCTGTGATGATTACCATTCGAACTTTGGAATCAGGTGTTTCAGGTGGAGCAATCTAAAAGACAAAACACTGGTAAAGAGGCACCCTCTAACGGGGGAGGAGGGGAGACCCCTCCATTTCCACCCCATCCACCCATCCGGGTCCCCTCTCACCACCCACTTCCACTGCCCAGGGAGAGGAAGAACAGAGACACGCTCCCCCAAGCATCCAAAGGCCAAATCATGGCCCTAGCACACCAAACCAAAACCCTTACAAAGGCGTAAGTGGCTGGCTAGAAGGCTGGCTTCGGTGAGTTTCAACTAGGCCTTCTTGCCCCTCTCCAGTTGGGGTGGGTTTCAGTGGAGTACTCCCCAAGAAAGAGGCAAAAATACAGGTTTTCCCATGGAGAACAATCGAGGCTTTTTAAGCTCACATTAACAAATGGATTTAGGTTCATCAGAGATTTTCCTTTCTCACCTAGACCTGGACCTAGGGAACATGAAAGACAGCTCACCTGGCACTGCCAGCCACTCACCAGGCCAGGTTATCGAGAATCATATTGAGGAGGAGAGTGAGGACTCACTGGGGGACACCGGTGGGGCCAGGATGGAACCTGGGGCAGAACCTGAGCTCTATATACTACTGACCTTTCTCCTGCCCAGCCAGAGAGACCCAGAAACACCGAAACTTAATCAAAAGCAAGGAGGCCTTTGGCTCTGTGGGAAACGGCCCTAACTAGACGTGAAGAATGTTCCAAAGCACAGGGAAATAAGCAGAGCAAATCACCTTGATGGAAGCGCTGGCGAACCGAGAGAGCTGCTTGATATGCTGGCCCTTCTTGCCGATGATGGCACCCACTGCCTGGGCAGGAATGAACACCTGCACCATCTCCTGCTCCGGAGCCTGCTGCCGGGACAGAGGCCTCCTTACCAAGGGCCAGAGGGCACAGAAGTAGAGCCCCTCCCCTCCCCTCCCCTGAAGATTCAACGATGAAGAGGTGCAGGTGCAATTACACCTCTGGCTGCCTAGGATGCTGTAAGCCATTTAGTCTTAAGCCCAGCACGGCTACAAGGAAAGGGAAGGATACGTGCTGCCAACATCCAGGCAGCATCCTTGCCTGGACTCCACAAAGAGGCAGAGCTGAAACCTGCGAGCTATGTGGAGGGGGCACCCCCTGAACTTCCACGCCTCTGCCAACCTCCACAGCACCAGACTCCCACCAGGATCCCCTAGAACAAGACTGCCACCTACCATAAAGGAGCTGTAGGGAGCAGCCCCAGTAACGCTGCTGGGAGGAGGTGGGACTGCGCTGGATGAGGCTGGGAAAAGACCGACAGCAGCCAGGTTGAGGCCGGGGATCAGGTGAGACTGCAGCTGGGGAAGGACAGTGAGGAACAGGTGAGCACTCCTGAGGGAGAACCATGTGCTTCTGCATAAAGACCTGCCTGACACAGCTTCTCCTTGGCACATGGGAGTTGTAAGTGGTATGTATGAGGTCCTCACTAGCCTAAGAACAGGTACCCAGATCCAAGAGGGCAACCAGCTGTGCAAGGTCAGGGAGCCCTCTTCTTTAAGTGGCTCATCCACTGATGGGGACAAATCACTCATTCTGGGCATGTAAGGCTCCTCCCTCTAAGAGTAGCAGGGAGACAGAGTCCCCCTGACTCCTAGGACCCAGTGGTTCGAAAGCTTTTTGTCATGTACTCACACACACACACTGACTTAAAAACTAGTTACAAGGGTTGGAGGCAAAGGGCACCAGTGGCTCACACCTGTAATCCTAGCTACTCAGGAGGCTGAGATCTGAGGATCATGGTTCAAAGCTAACCCAGGCAATGAAGTCTGTGAGACTTTTTATTTTTATCTCCAACAAAAACCTTCCAGAACACTGGAAGTGGCACTGTGGCTCAACTGGTAGAGCGCTCGCCTTGAGCTGAAGAGCTGAGGGACAGCGCTCAGGCCCAGAGTTCAAGCCCTACGACTGACAAAAAAAAAAAAAAGGGTTGGAGGCACGGCTCAGGGGCAGCATGCCAGCCAATGAGCGAAATGCCCCTCTCCCATACAGCATGCACCCACCATCCCCTCTGGGAGGGAGGGGATCAGCTGAAGCCAGTTGCTGGCTCACATCTGTAATTCCAGCTACTCAGGAAGCTGAGATCTGAGGATCCCCATTTATCTCTAGTTAACCAGCAAAAAGCTGTAAGTAGAGTTGTGACTCAAGTGGCAGAGCACCAACATTGAGTGAAAGAGCTAAGGGACAATACCGAGGCTCTGAGTTCAAGCCCCAGTATGAGTATCCAAATAAACAACAACAAAACAAACAACCAAAAAACCCACCTACTTGACCAGCTGAGCTTGTCCGTTTAGTGGTTGAACCCTATAGCTCAATGGTGGAACCCTTGCCTGATGTATGTGAAGTTCAGGATTTTGATCTGATCCCAAACACCACCACTACCACCCCAAAAATCAAATAAACTGAGGTTCACAAGTGAAAAGGAAATCCCGAGGCCACAGGGCCAGGGCCTGTCATTTGCCTGTCCACTGCTGCTGCACAAGCATAGGGAAGGGTGCACAGAGAGGTGCTGCCCAGCACTCACACTCATGGCGGCCACGTCGTTCTCGTAGGCCTCCCGAACTTTCTTCATGATCTCCTGCTCAGCCCTGCAGCAGTTCTCGATGGCTCCCTTCACAGTGATGGTCCTCTCAGGGTTGTAGAGGGTGAGGTCCTGCAGCCTGGCCCAAGAGCAAGATGGTCTTAAGCTTTTCTCCAGCAGCACCGGCCCAGGCCTAGCTGGACCAGGTTTACTCATTTCTGCAGGGTCCAGTTCAATAACCAAGGCAAGGAGAAAGGTGTTTGAACAAAGCCAATCACAGAAGGCTACGGTCGGCTGGCAAGCAAGCAAAACTGGCACTGTGCTTCCCAGATGCTCCAAGCAAGGCCATCCTTTGCCTGTGTGTTTGAGAGTAGCTTCTGAGGAACTAGAGGTAGCGCAAGCACTCAGAGCACTAAGGGAGACTCCTAATTCGTTCTTCCAGAGGCAGCCCACCATACTAGCTGGAAAGGACCAAGGTGTGTGGAAAGAACCAACTTCTCTCATGGCAGAGAGGCCTATATGCCCTGAAGGCTGGCTCTTACATTGCAGGCTCACCTCAAGATGCAGAAGAGAGGAGCTGGGAAGGTGGCTCAGTGATAGAGCGCTTGCCTTGCATGCATGAGGCCCTGGGTTCGATTCCTCAGCACCACATAAACAGAAAAAGCCAAAAGTGGAGTTGTGGCTCAAGTGGTAGAAAGCTGGCCTTGAGCTGAAGAGCTGAGGGACAGCACCCAGGCCCAGAGTTCAGGCCCCACAATCAACCAAAGAATAAAGAAGATGCAGAAGAGAGTGTCAGTAGATAGCAGGAAGAAAACAGAGGCGCCTCCTCTACAGCAGCTCCTACTCCCGCCACATGCAGAGAGGATGGGCGAGCTCCAGTCCTTACAGAGTATGAACGTGTTCTTTGACACGTCATTGATTATTTTTACACAAGCAGAAACAGCTCCCACTTAAGGGGGCAGGTGTTAGAGCTCAACAATGAAATACAGCTACCCCAGGCCAGTATACCACCCCCAACACCACCAGTAAAGAAGTAAGAGGTTTACGAGGAGATGGTGATTTTCGTCTCTGTATCTTGTTCGACCTTCTTCAGGTTACGCCCTTCCTTGCCAATGAGCCGCCCCACGAAGTTATTGTGGGCCAGGATCTTCAGGGGGACCTCGTCAGCCCTACGGAAGAAGTAGAGAACAAGAACTCCATCAGGGGTGGCAGCTGAGACTGTATCATCAGGCCATCCCAAGCTGGGGGTTCCAGGACGAACCATAGGCCAGAAGATTACAAAAATCAGCACAACATGCTGGGTGCCAGTGGCTTATGCCTGTAATCCTAGCTACTCCCTCAGGAGGTAGAGATCTGAGGATCATGGTTACAGGCCAATCCAAACAGAAAAAGGTCTAGAGACTTCATCGCCAAAATTACCAGCCAAAAAGCTAGGCTGCAGGCATGCATGGCTTAAGAGGTAGAGTGTCTGCTGAGCAAGCAAGCTGAGCTAGTGCCAGGCCTGAGTTCACAAGACACACACACACACACACACACACACACACACACACACACACACACACACACACACAGCCTGATAGCCATAAAACAGTGTCTTCCCTCTGGTCTTGTTCACACAGCCCTCCAGAGAATTAAGAGGTTTTTGTTGCTGGTATGACAGACATCAGGTAACTCATGCCTATAATTCTATACCTACTCAGGAGGTGAGATCTGAGGATCACAGTTTAGAGATAGTCGAGGTAAACTACCTGGCATGCTGAAAACTCTGGGTTTGATTCCCAACACTGCAAAAAACTGTGTGAGGGACATGACAAGAAGATCCAAGCCGAGCCTTACGTTTTGGTGTCTTTTGCCTCCTTGTGCATAATCTCCAAGATCATCTTACAGGCAGAGGAGCAGCCCTCGGGGGTCGAGTGGACGCTGATGGCCTTTTCAGCTGCACCTGCATTCTCTTTCCTGTGCACATCTATCCTGAGAACCACAAGGTGAGAGCCAGTCAGCTATCACTAGTCACACTGGTCTTCACACTTCCCCATTTCCCACTGATCAAAGGCATCGAACCCACTCTTCTGGCACAAGGCAAAATTAGGAGGGGGAAAAAGCCATCTCAGGCAATCCTGTGCTCTGGCTGTCTCTTTCAGGTGATGGCTGAGGACAAGAATGCAGTCTACACAGTTGCCAGGGTAGGGACAAACAGGCCATGGCTTAAAACTGCATTTCCCAGCCCAGTGTTTCCTGCCTGTAATCCTAGTTACTAGAAAGGCCTAGTGAGATGTGAACTGGGAAGGTGGCTCAGTGGTAGAGTGCTTGCCTAACATGCATGAGGCCCTGGATTCAATTCCTCAGCACCACATAAGCAGAAAAGGCCAGAAGTGGTGCTATGGCTCAAGTGGTAGCGTGCTAGCCTTGAGCTGAAGAGCTCAGGGACAGCACCCAGGGCCAGAGTTCAAGGCCCCAGGACTGACCAAAAAAAGAAAGAAAAAAAAAATCAAAAGGCTGAGATGTAAGGATCGTGGTTCAAGGCTAGCCCAGGCAGAAAAGTCTGTGAAACTCTTATCTTCAATTAGCTACCAAAAAAAGACAAGTAGAGCTGTGGCTCAGGCCTGTAATTCTAACTATGCAAGAGGCTGAGATCTGAGGATTGAGGTTCAATGCCAGCCGGGACAGAAAAGTCCCTGAGACAATTTTTTTTTTTGGGGGGGGGGGGGTCGGTCGTGGGGCTTGAACTCTGAGCTTGACGCTGTCCCTGCGCTCTTCAGCTCAAGGTGAGCTCTCTGCTGCTTGAGCCACAGCGCCACTTCTGGTTTTCTAGTGGTTTATTGGAGATAAGAGTCTCATGGAATTTTCTGCCCAGGCTGGCTCTGAACCGTGATCCTCAGATCTCAGCCTCCTGAGTAGCTAGGATTACAGGCATGAGCCACCAGCACCCGGCTCCTGTGACTCAGATCTCCAATTAACCATTCAAAAACTGGAAGTGGCGCTGGGCTCAAAGTGGTAGAGCCACTGGCCTTGAACAAAATAGCTCAGACAGTACCCAGGCTCTCAGTTCAAGCTCCATGACCAACAAAAAATAAAAAAACTAAGGGACAGGACACCCAAGTCCTAAGTTCAAGCCCTAGTACAAACATATGGGGGTGGGGGGGGGGCAGGAACCTGCCTTAACTCAAAGTATCTAATAAAGGGACTTATTATGAATAAGGACATGAGTTTCCCCCATTTTGTGGGGGTTTTTTTTGGGCGGGGGGGTCCGGTAGTGGGCCTGAACTCTGGGCCTGGGCGCTGTCCCTCAGCTCTTCAGCTCAAGGCTAGCGCTCTACCACCTGAGCCATAGCGCCACTTCCGGCTTTTTTCTTTTTGCTTATGTGGTGCTGAGGAATCGAACCCAGGGCCTCAAGCATGCAAGGCAAGCGCTATACCACTGAGCCACCTTCCCAGCCCTCCATTTTGTGTTTTTCTTTTTCTTTTTTTTTTTGGTGCTGGTCCTGGGGCTTGAACTCGGGGTCTGGGGGCTGTCTCTGATCTTTTTTCTTCAAAGCTATTGCTTTACCACTTCAGCCACAGCTGTATTTCCAGCTTTTTTGGTGGTTAAATGAACATAAGAGTCTCATGGACTTTTCTACCTGGGTTGTCTTTGAACCACAATCCTCAGACCTCAGCCTCCTGAGTAGCTAGGATTACAGGTGTGAGCCACAGGCAACTCATTCTCTCCTTCCCATGGAGTATGATCAGCTGAGATTGGAGTAAGGGGCTGTCATGGTGGTCATGAAATCAGAGTACTCAGTGGCTCATTCACCCAGACTGGGTTTACCTGAGGAGATTTTCTATGAAACTTCACAGGAGGAATTTCGCTCCCCTTCCTGCTAAGGACACTGCATGGCTCAGCCATTACCAGTAAGTGTAGGACTGGATAGAAGCAATGAACTTTGAATGGAACCAGCCACATTTCTCGGGAGGAAGCATTGATGTCCCCACCATGCTTCCAGAAGGCCTCCCTGGGTATCAGTCATTCCCTGAGGCCATCACCCCCGCCCAGCAACTAAGACTCACTTGGACTGGGTCTGTTTAGTGATGTTACGGATGGTGGCACCCTCCTTTCCAATGATGGCACCCACATACTGGGTGGGTACCAGGAGCCGAAGGGGGATGTCCACTTGCTGCTGCTTGGCTGGAGCTCCTGCTGCTACAGGTGAGCCCTGGCGGGGCTGACCCCGAGAGCCAAAGCCTCCCCGGCGCCCATTCTCGGGGCCCTGTGCGCTCTGCTCATCAGGAATGTAGGAGACCTTCAGGGCATGGTTTTCCAACTGGTGGCCGTTCAGTTTCATGATGGCTCTGGGGATAAAAGGAGAGGCTGTTGTTCATTCCAACCCGTGTTCATTATACCTGGTGTTCTCCTGGTACCTAAGAACTCTACTGAGTTACAGCATGAACACATGGAAGAAAGGGAGCCACTATTAGTCACTATCCATGATGACCACTTAGGAAACCTTCTAGTCTTTATGGCAAAAAATACCAAAGGAAAAGTAGTTGAGCTGGGCGCTAGTGCTCACACCTGTAATCTTAGCTACTCAGGAGGCTGAGATCTGAGGATCAAGTTTCAAAGCCAACCCAGGCAGGGAAGTCCCTGAGTCTCTTATCTCCAATTAACTACCAGAAAACAAGAAGTAGCGCTGTGGGTCAAAGTGGTAGAGCACTTGCCTTGAGCTGAAGAGTTGAGAGACGGGGCCCAGGCCCAGAGTTCAAGCCCCATGACCGACAACAGTAACAACAAAAAAAAATAGCTAGACAGTTAAAGGTTCTTTTTTTTTTACCTGGGCACCACTGTCTCACGCCTATAAGCCTAGTTACTCAGGTGGCTGAGATCTGAAGTTTGACTCATCTCCTCCAATGAAGCACCAGAAAACCAGAAGCGGTGCTGTGACTCAAAGTGATAGAGTGCTAGCCTTGATAAGCGAAGAAAACTCAGAGACAGCACCCAGGCCCTGAGTTCAAACCCCAGAACAGACCAAAAAATAAACAAAAATAAATCCTGCTGGGTGCTGGTGGCTCACGTCTCTGTCATCCTACCTACTCAGGAGGCTGAGATCTGAGGATCGCAGTTCAAAGCCAGCCCAGGCAGGAAAATCCATGAGACTCTCATCTCCAATAAACCACTAGAAAACTGGAAGTGGTGCTGTGGCTCAAGCGGTAGAGCACTCGCCTTGAGCTAAAGAGTGGGGACAGCATCCAAGCCCAGAGTTCAAGCCCCACGACCAACCAAAAAATAAATAATTAAAAATAAATAAAGCTTTTTTTAAACCCTGAAGTTCCTCCTCCCAAACACTTGATGGCGCCATTAACACACAAAGGAACCTGAAACAACCTTTTCTCCCAGATGTCTGTCCCTAGGGAAGGCTTTGGGTCCTCTCCCTTCAGTGTGTTTTTGCCATAATCCTGAAGCATTTCTGAACCTTTGAGATCTCTGATACCTAGGAAGTGAAGAAAACTCAAAAGACCTTTTGAGGGACTCTAGGGTTGTCTGGGTAATCAGAACCCAGCCTGCTTGGAGCTTCCTTCCGCGCTTCAACCCACCTCATTCAAACAGCGGGTCCCAGTACCCCACACTGAGATCACCTCCCCCACAACCCAGCAAAGCCCACTTCTGAACACTTACTGCCTGGTCTGCTCCCGGTTGGAATAGGTGACGTTCACAACGGCTGTCTCACTCTCAGTGTTCACTGTGGAGACAACAGGCCAGTGTTAGTGGTGAAATCTGCAGCCCCGCCCACAGACCCCTAACCCCAAGGCAGGCAGCAGAATACTGAGCTTAAGAAATAACTGGAAGAAAAAGTCAAAAACAATTTTTCCCCTGAGGCACCTTTTAACCAGTGCTACTGGAAGATTCAAGGTAACCTTTCCTACATTCCTTTTGTTTTCCTAAACTTCTCTAACCAGGAGCCCCCCCTCCAAGAAAAGTAGTATACAAAGGGTATAGCTGCATATCAGCAAACTGTACAATGAGACAAATGTACACACGTACACATGTACACACACACACACCCCCCAAGAACCAAACACCCTTGGAAAGTCAAATTAGACTTGGGGTGAGATTTAGCAACATACAGAGGGAAACATCCCAAGAATTAGCTGGCAGGGATTTGGCTGAAGAGATGTGAGAACACTCAGATGCAATCTAGAAGCTGACAGAGCCCCAAGGACACAATGACCAAAGTTGTGCAGAGGGGATGGACTGACAGGAGCAAGGGGATGGACTGACTGGAGTGGCTGTGGGCTATGGAAGATTTCCTGACTTAAATACTGCAAACATCTCAGCAGTGGGCTGAGGGAGATCGCTACTTTGAGAAGTCACTATCCATGACCCATCCAAGCCCTCAGATCTAATTATGAGCAGATTTTTGGTTTTTCTTTGATTCCTCCAAATTCCCTTTCCTACAAAGAAGGCAGCCAACTGGCTAACTGGTAATAGAATTCCAAGTCGTTGGGACAAATCTTTCTGGATTTAAATTAATAGAATTAATCTTCTGACTTATGTATCCATGTCTTATGAACTGGAGTCCCCAGGGCACTACAAACCTCCACAGCCCTGAGGCTGAGATGTCTGCTGAGTCAGATCACACTCTTCACCCTTCTGGCCCCCACCAGCAGAAATGATATAAAGTATGAGCCAGGTGCTGGTGGTTCACCCTGTAATCCTAGCTGCTCAGGAGGCTGAGATCTGAGGATCGAGGTCCAAAGCCTGCCAGAAAAGTCTTACCTCCAATTAACCAGAAAAAAAAAAAAGCCAGAAGTAGAAGTATGGCTCAAGTAGTAAAGCTCCAGCTATGAGAGGGAAAAAACCAAACAAGCCAAAAACCTGAGTTGGAGGCCTAGAGTTCGTACACACATGTGCACACACACACAATGGGTAATAGTGGGTACATCCCGTCCTCAGGAAGTTGAGCCTAGAGGATTAAGAGTTCAGGGCCAACCTATAATGGGAAAGGGACATTATAGAAGACTTGCAGGAGCTGGGAATATGGCTTAGTGGTAGAGTGCTTGCCTTGCAAGTATGAAGCCCTGGGTTTGATTCCTCAGTACCACATACACAGAATAGGCTAGAACTGGCTCTGTGGCTCAAGTGGTAGAGTGCTAGCCTTGAGCAAAAGAAGCTCAGAGAAAGTGCTCAGGCCCAGAGTTTAAGCCTCAGTATTGCAAAGGAAGAAGGGAGGGAGAGAGGGAGGGAAGGAGGGAGGGAGGGGGAGGGAGTGGGAGGGGGGAGGGAGAGAGAGAGAGAGAGAGAGAGAGAGAGAGAGAGAGACACGCAGGCCTAATACTGGAAGCTCACACCTGTCATCCTAGCTACTCAGGAGGCTGAGATCTGAGGATCACCATTCAAAGCCGGCCGGGGCAGGAAGTCCCTGAGACTTTTTTTTTTTTTTTAAAAAAAGATCATTTTATTTTTTCTAAATATTTTTTTGGGTCCGGTCGTGGGGCCTGAACTCTGGGCCTGGGCGCTGTCCCTCAGCTCTTCAGCTCAAGGCAAGCGCTCTACCACTTGAGCCACAGCGCCACTTCCGGCTTTTTTCTTTTTTCTTATGTGGTGCTAAGGAATCGAACCCAAGGCCTCAGGCATGCAAGGCAAGCGCTCTACCACTGAGCCACCTTCCCAGCCCCTCCCTGAGACTCTTATCTCCAATAAACCACCAGATAACTGAAGTGGTGCTGTGGCTCAAGTGGTAGAGCACTCGCCTTGAGCTGAAGAGCTGAGGGACAGCGCCCAGACTGCGTTCAAGCCACACAACTGACAAAAAAAAAAAAAGAAGAAGAAGACTTGCAGGCTTTCTCTCCTGTTGAACAAAACCAAACACTTCCCACTCAGAGGCAGTATATGATTGCATCTTTACCATCTGGCAGATTTCTTGCCATGGCTCCCAAGCAGCTGAGTATGTGTTTGGTGCACTAGCAGAAGCCGCTTATTACAATCAATGCTGTGGGCAATGCTGGGCAATGTGGTGTGGGTCAGTTGTGTCTGGCATTTCTGGTAAAAGGCATAAAGGCTGGGAGTGTTGATCAGTGAAAAGCACTTGCTTAGCATGTGCCAGGGTGGGAGGGAAGGAGGGAAGAAAATGACCAGTTGCTTATTCCAACCCAAACCAAGAAAAGTGAAACTTCTCAAGTGAAAGGACTATTAACTTGCTGAGGGGAACAGTAATTTCCATTCTAAAACTACTGGTACCATCATCTTGGGAGCCTGAGAGTCTGTGATGGGAAGGAAGCAGTGACTGCAGAAGTTGCTCACTTGGTAGAGCAAAGGCCAAGTGCACAGGTCAGCAGCAGAGTATGAGCAGGAGACAATGGCCAGACCCTTCAACACCCACCCCTCACCCCACCCAGACTTACCTTGCTCACAGTTCTCTACTGTACCATACTGAGCCAGCAGGCTGTCCAGTACCTGAAAGTGTAGAGAAGAGGAGTCTGAGCACCGCAGGCTTGGTCCCCACTTCCCCTAAAGCCCAGGGACACAGGCAGGGTCATCTATGGGGACTGAGCATCATCACCTGTCAGTTTGCTCTTTGGGGGGACAGGGGGTACAGTGGAGAGGGCAGGGGAAAGGGGAGGGACTGAGTCCCTGCATCACCAGGTTTGGGGCTTACCCTTCTGACTTCTGTAACATCTGTCAATATAGGGAGTTGGAGCCATTGAGTGAAGGATGGGACCAACCGCACCTCCTCAGAACTAGGGGCACCTTTTTGGTCCATTTCAGCTAACTGAGGGAGACCCATTTTTACCCTGCCCCACTAGGGGTTCCCAGACACTCACTTCCCATCGAAGCTGAGGTGGGATATTTCGGATCTGAATTTTCCGACTCCTGGAAGAGGAAATAAAGTGTTAGGGAACGTTCTGGATGTGGGGTTGGGGGTGTGGATTAGTGGTAGATTGCTAGCCTGGAGCAAAAGAAGCTCAGGGACAGTGTCCAGGCCCTGGGTTCAAGTCCCAAAATGAGAAGTGGGGGTGGGGGGAGAGGGAAAGGAAGGGAGGGAGGGAGGGAGGGAGGGAGGAAGGAAGGAAGGAAGGAAGGAAGGAAGGGAAGGGGGAAGGAGGGGGAGGGGGAAGGAGGGGGAGGGAGAAGGGAGGGAAGGAGAGAGCTTTCTGGATATTTTCTGTTTCAACATTTGGCAGTGTCTAATCCTTGTCTCAAGTTTGATTCTCCACCCCCCACACCCCCCCCCACAACTTCCGGCCCTCTATCAGCAGCACTAGTAGCTTAGAATGCTAATTCATATGTTTATTTTTTATTTTTTACAATGCTGAGAAGTAAGCCCAGAGCCTTAAGCACCCTAGACAAAGGCTACACTAAGCCACACCCCCCAGCCCCTTAGAGTGGTCTCCCTTCTAAGAAGGCAGATTTGAAGTTGGGAGATAGGGCTACCCTTGAAGACCAAATTATCAACACTTCTCCAGAATGGAGAAGCAGCAGATGTTCTGAGCACAAGGGTAACTCAATTCACCACCACCACCCTGTAAAAACAAAAAGCAAAAAACAGAAAACAAAACCACTGAAGTTTTCTTTGCTTAGCTTTCATATTCACTCCTCTGCCTGACTAGGTTCCAGGCAGAACACAAAGCTACGTAAGTAAGATACTGAGTGAATTCAACAACTATGTGAAAGCATTCAGGCCCTGAGTTCAAGCACTAGTACCTGCAACACCCCCTTCCAGGCGACACCAACCCCCCATGCGCCAAAAACAATGTAGAAGAAATGACTGGCTGGACGTGTTCCTGATGTATTAGGGAGGGAAGATGATATGGGCCAACAAATCACAGCAACTCAAAAGTCCAGCCGCTAAGCCCTTGGCACAAATATGGATTTAAAGCACTTATTAGCACTGATCTTTAGAAGATTATTTAACTTCTATGAGGCCCACTTTCCTCCTTTGTGAAACGGAGATTAATACCTATTCACAGGTGGTGGGTGGTGTTAGATAATATTTGTAAAGAGCTTAGCAAAAGGCTTGGTGTAAGTACTTAAAGTGTAACAATAGATGCATCTGTGAATGCTAAAGGCAACCTGGATGCAAACCCACTCACCCCCATGCCTCAGTTAACTATGCACTTTTTCCTTCCCATCTTTCAACTGCGTATTACAAATGTCTTTTTTTTTTTTAGCTGCCAGTGGCTCCCACCTATAATCCTAGCTACTCAGAAGGCTGAGCTCTAAGGATCGTGGTTCAAAGCCAGACTGGGTCCATGAGACTCCTCTCCAATTAACTCCCAAAAAAGCCTAGAGTAAAGCTGTGGCAAGTGGCAGAACACTAGCCTTGGAGGGGAGGAGGGGTCCCCCCTCAGGGACAGACCACGACCTTGTGTTCAAGCCCCAGGACTGGCACACACAAAAAAAAGCTTTTTCCAACCTAACACTGGTGGGCTCATGACTAATCCTATTACTCAGGATGCTGAGATCTGAGAATCCCAGTTTGAAGCTGGCCTGGAAGGACAAACCCAAAAGACTCCAATTAACCAACAAAACAGCCAGTAGAGCTGTGTGTGACTCAAGTGACAGAGCTGTGGCCCTGAGTGAAGAGGTGTGTAGGTGGAGTAATTTTCCCTGAGGAAAGCTTTGGAGTTCAGGGTTGAATCCCAGGGCAACTGCTCCCTACCCAAATCAATATCCCTGTCCCTGAAAGATATTCAAATTGACTTGATGTGTTAGTCGATTATCATTTAGGTCCCCATACATCCTAGATCACAAGATCTTAGCTGAAGGACTCTGTCCAAACAAAACCCTAGAGGCTGGAAGGTAAACGACCAGAAAGGAAAGTCTAGTTCAAACCTTTTTAAGCAAAAACATTTATTATCGTTATAAAGGTGGCGTTACAATTACATAAGTCAGATAAAGAGTTTCTTTTTGGACAATGTAACCAGTTCTTACATCCTCTCCCAGTTTTTCCTTCCATTCCCACCCACAAGTTATGGAGTTCATTTTCAACATAGGATCTAGTGAACACTGGTTGGCTAGTTGGTACGATTAAGCCATTTCGTTCCAACCTCAGTCTTGTACTGAGAAGTGATGAGGACACCGTCCCAGCTCTGGTCTAGCTGAACGAGGAGGAAAAGGATGCCAAAGTCTAACTGTAAAATGTGTCAGCCTTGGGCTGGGAAGGTGGCTCAGTGGTAGAGTGCTTGCTTTGCATGCATGAGGCCCTGGGTTCGATTCCTCAGCACCACATAAGCAGAAAAAGCCCAAAGGGGTGCTGTGGCTCAAGTGGTAGAGCGCTGGCCTTGAGCTGAAGAGCTGAGGGACAGCACCCAGACCCAGTTCAGGCCCCCCGACCAGCCAAAAAAAAAAAAAGTGTCAGCCTTGACTGTCCAGGCCAGCTTCCTCACCTCACCACTGAGACCTCAAGTGTCACCAGCTGTCAAGTAAAATTTGTTCTTTAGGTCTGAATTCTAGAGTCTTAGGGGCTTGCTAGACAGGCCTCCTATCAAATGAGCCATGCCTCCAGCTCTAGCCCTGCAATTTTAAGCATGAAGGGTCTTTAATCCATGAAGTACATGAAGGGAACAATTAAGCACAATTAAGTAGGGGAAAGTCTTTGTGGCATTGAACTTTTGGTTGGCTCATGAAGACCTAGAGTTGGATTTTAGCAAAGACAACATTGTAAGGATCAGAACTAAATCCAGTTCCAGGTCTTCAGATGCCATCAGGCCACCTTGTGATTCAATTCATTGGCCAGGAGGAAGCTTCGCAACTGCCCACATGAGGGATTTCCCACAATGCGCTTGATGACCAAATGGGTAGTGACAAATTAGTAAACTGGGGGCAAAGAAATGATTACATTGTCGACAGATTGAGAATACTAAGCAGGTTTAACAGACCAGGGATGGGCCTTCCCTTAAGTGAACCATTCTGAATGAAGGGCAGGAGACAGATGCTTGTCCAGTAGAGTGAGGGCCTAAAGCAATCCCATGTCAGGAGCACTGTTTGAAGTTCTTTTAGGCCGGTCCCTGAGAGCAATCTAAGATCAATGGTCAAAACATCCTCTTACTTCAAACTCCCAGTATTAGGGGCTTTCTTTTCAGGGAAGGGAGAGGGAAAGAGGGGTAGCCGTGGGTGAAATCAAACCTCTGCAAGGATGTTAATCCATATCCTGAAAGCAATGGCAGGCAGATCGTCTGGAATGTCTGGAATGTTCCAAGAGAGGGAGGGGGAGGAGGGCAGGGCACCAAACCAATGAAAGAAAAGACATCCTGGCAGCCCTCCCCCCACTCCTCGAGGGCACATAACCCACCCTGGGAACCCACTCCAGGCCCCTCTCAGACCTCCTTTCAGAAAGCCCCTAACCCTGATTAAAAAACTGAGCTGAAGCCCAGAAGGACTTTTGTCTCCTAAACCTTTGGGCTGGTTTCCATTAAGTATCGGGCTACCTAATTTTTTTCAGGCCCAAAGCAACATGGAGAATTATAACCTGTGTTTCCTAGCTGTCGAACTACCCAGAGGGGAACTCATTCATGCCACTAACAGGTATACCCCAGTGTGTGCCCAGAGCTCGGGAGAGCTTGTAACAGGGCCTAAGAGTTCCCTGACTCCAAACACCATTCTTTGTGAAAACTGACCAATACTTTCTTTAGTACTTCAAAGAGAAAGTACACGAAGCTGACAGTCTGGGTAGCAAGGCTCCACCCAAGTCTGGCCATTTCTCAGAGAGTCGGGCAGAAAGTAGGGATGGGTGAATCACTTGGCAGGAGAGATGGTGACAGTCATGTCTTCTGCACTGATGGGAAACTAGTGAAAAATATCAATGCCTAGAGCGCTGACTGACTCATCCGCCCCCACCGAGGCCAACTACCCTGGCTCCAGAAGACCAGATCCCTCTAAGCCAGGTGTGTTCTCTAGGTAATAGGTAACAATGCCCTAAGTGCATTCTCTGAGGCTCCAATACATCCACTACTCAGCCAAGGAAACTCTCAGGGGTTCATCAGCTACCCCAGCTTCCAGGAGTTGAAAAAAAAATCTGTTGATCAAGACAATGAAACTGCCACCGACGGCCATAAAGGCAATGGATGCACCAGACAAATGGTATTACCGGATGCCAAAAGCCTGTGGCTGTCTGGTGTCCTCTACCTGCCCTGCTCCACAGGGCAGTCATTGATCAGGCCCTGGAGGGCAGCTCAAGAGAACATATCAATTAGCTGGCGCCAGCCAGTGGCGCATGCCTGCGATTGCTAGCAACTCCAGAGGCTGGGAGGCTGAGATTGGAGGACAGTGGTTTGAAGTCACCTTGGGCAGAAAGAAAAAACAACTTCAAGACTCTCCAAAACAACCAGCAGAAAGTGGGACTGGAGGCATGGCTCAAGTGATAAAGTGCTGAGCAAGCAAGCTAGTCTCAGGACCAGAAGAAAAAAAGAAAATTACCATTATTCACATATTCCCCTAGACCATGGGGAATGTAAAGAGAGTTGCCTAGTGGCCATGCTCTGGAAATCAGGGATGGTTGTGGAGAGACTGGGGAAGAATACGCACAACAGCTTAAGGAACCACACAGGGCGGCACAAGATTCAGGAAACGCAAGGCTGAGCACTAGGGACAAGACAGGAAGTCTCCCTGTTCCCTCTTTCACACTCGAGAAGTTTGGTTCATGTCTACAATCCTAGCTACTCAGACTGAGATCTGAGGGTCTCAGTTCAAAGCCAGACCCAGCAGGAAAGTCTATGAGTCTCTTATCTCCAATTAACTAACAAAAAGCCAGAAGTGGAGTTATGTCAATTGATAGGAATGCTAGCCTTGAGTGAAAAAATCCAAGAGAATGTTGAGTTGTACCCAGAATACCAACACGAAAGAAAAAGTTTACTATCTTGCCAAAGTAACAA